CATATGTGCAAGAGTGTACATGCGTGTCGGTGCACTGTCTGGCGTGTGTGCACACGTGTGCGGATGTCAGCGCTGCCGTGGCTGAGGAGCCAGCCCATGAGTGGGTTTGCATCTGCGTAGAGGGCTGGGTATGTGTGCCTGAGGGTCGTAGGTGTGCGCTGGGTGTGGGTGCATTGTGTGTGTGACACGGAGGATGGCAGGCGAAAGGCCTGAGGGCCCGGGTGTGTGTGAGCTGGGGCGTCTTGCACCCCAATGTGGGTCCTAGCCTCGGGTATGGATGGGTGTCCCTGATGGGTGCGTACGGAATTGCTGGTGGTGCCATACAGGCACGCTCCAGCCCCCACGGCAATGGCGCCCCCTTCTGGGCATCCTACTCTGTAGGATGTGTGCGCTCACAGTGCAGCTGTGCAGTGTGGAGCCGGGTCAGCAGCCCGGGCTGGGGAGGAGGGTGGGTGGCGCGGAAAGGCTGAGCCGGGACCTCTGGGACCTCCACGGAGGAGGTGGCTGGGAGCGCGTTTCCCAGGCTCAGGCTTCCCGCTGACGCCTCCGGCCGCAGGGCTCCCCCACCCCCGCCCTAGGAATGTTCTCCGCTCCGCTCTCCGCCCCAAGGGCAGGCCCCTGGGGGCCGCTGCAGCCCCACCTCCCCTTCCTGGGAGCCCAGAAGGGGGCCCAGCGGGCCGGACGCCTGGGTTCCTACCCCCTCCCATCCCAGAAAGAAATTCCTCCGAGGTCCCCTCAGGCTCTGGGTTCCCAAAATAACCCTGCGGGGGAAGGGAGGCTGAGGGAGGGAAGCGAGGGGGCGCAGAGCCGGGCTGCGGTGGCTGCAGGTGCCTCCGGGGAGAGGGCGCGAGGAACAGAGGGCGTGGGGGGGGGGGGCCACCAACAAGCCCCCGGAGTCGCAGCTCATCCCCATCCCCAGGGAGTCCCTCGGCCTCTGGCGGCTCCGAGGGTGGGCCGGAAGTCTCTGGGCCGGCCCGTTTCCCAACTGGTGGGTTGCACCATCCCGGGCCAGACCGTTTAACCCGGGAGTGGCCGCGGCCGAGACTCCGCCCCTGCCCAGCAGGGGGCGTGCCCGCCCCGCCCCGTTCCCGCCCACCGCCGCTCCCCCGGCCCGCGCCTCCGCAGGCTCCCACTCTGCCTCTCCCGGGACAGGGGTCCAGTCCGAGCCCCGTGGAGGCTCCCGGAGCGCCTCGTGGCCCAGCCTACCCGCTCGGCGGCCATGGCGGGCACCCTCGACCTGGACAAGGGCTGCACGGTGGAGGAGCTGCTCCGCGGCTGCATCGAAGCCTTCGGTGAGTGGCGCGGGGAGCCCGGCGGGACACTGACTCCGGACCCGCTCCCAGGCCAGGCTCTGGCCCCGACCCCCTCGGCTCCGCATCCTGCACCTTCCTCGTGGAGAGGTCCCCGTGCTTCAGAAAGAGAGAAAAAATGTTTCCCTTCCCCAGCATGTCGCGTTGAAGGCAGGGATGCGGGTCCCCAGACTCTTGACACACGGGGTGCATTATCTGCGCCGCCCCCCCCTCCCCCCCGCCCCCTGGGAATCCGGAGGAACTCTCTATCTCCGGCCTGGGAGCTGTTTCCGGCTGATGCGGGTGGCTTATCTGGTGAAGGGGTGCCCCTTCCCCCAAGCACTCAGGAAATGACCTCTGGATTCTTGACCCTGGGGAACCCAGGCTCCTTCCGCCCCAGCTGGTTCCCCTCCTGAGGATGGGCCCGACTGGGACACTCCCCCCTCCATCCAGTTCCTCGGTCCCGCCTGTGTCTCTCCCACCCCACCTCCTCTTCTAACCTGCCTCGGGCTCTGGGAATCCTGGGAGAGCAGGAGATTGGGGTTGGGTTGGGGTGGAGGGAGAAGATACCCTTCTGGCTGAGGGTTAGGGGTTAGAGACGGGCCTGCTGGACTAAGAGTCAACCTGCTCCTCTCTGCCCCTCGGAGCTAGATGACTCCGGGAAGGTGCGGGACCCGCAGCTGGTGCGCATGTTCCTCATGATGCACCCCTGGTACATCCCTTCATCCCAGCTGGCGGCCAAGCTGCTCCACATATATCCTTCCTGGCCTCACCCCGCAGCCCAGCCCCCTAGCCAGCCACTGGCCCCGATGGCTTCACTCCAGAGGCGGACCCGCCTGCGTCCCAGAGTTCAGGCTTGGCCCAGCCTCCCTAAGGCCCAGGCAGTCCCGACTGCCTCCCCAACCTAGGCCTTGCCTCCCACTCCCTACAGTCTGGGACCCTTCCCTACTGTCAGCTTGGTCTGCCTCTTGCCTCTCCCAGAAACCAGGCCCAGCTCTCAGCGCCCCCAGAACCTAGCCTCTTCCCTCTCACCTCCCTCCCCTGCTCAGCGCCCATCCCTCCCTGCAGCCTCTGTCCAGAGCCTCGGCCTGGGCCTGCCCCACCCCTGCTCCAGGTCCTTCCCCCAGCATTTCTCCTGGAACCAGGCCCCCGTCCCCTGCCTCCCTTTCTAGATGTAGGCTGCACTCTGGTTTTCCTTAACTCTCTGTCACCTACCAGCAATCCCGGAAGGACAACTCCAGCTCCATGCAGGTGAAAACATGTCATCTGGTCAGGTGAGTCCTCCCGCCTGGGGCACCTTCCCTTCCTCCCCTGCCCCAGGCCCTGGCCTGATGCAGTTGGTCATGCGGGTTTGCCCCCGGCTCTGTCCATGGTGGGCGTGCTGCCACAGGCCTGCCCGTTCTGGTCCTGGCCTAGGTTTTCTCATCTGTCCAAAGGGGGTGGGGAAGGACAGAGCCAGGACAGGGGGAACCATGGGCTGAAGCTCTTTCACCCTTTTGTGGGGAGTTACAACGCCAGGGGCGGGTGGGGGAGGGGCCACCTTGGGTGACGCCCACTCTCCTGCAGGTACTGGATCTCAGCATTCCCAGCAGAGTTTGACTTGAACCATGAGCTCGCTGAGCAGATCAAGGAGTTGAAGGCTCTGCTGGACCAAGAAGGGAACCGCAGGCACAGCAGCCTCATCGACATCGAGAGCGTGTGCGTGGGGGGAGCCTGGGGGCAGGGCAGGCGTTCGGCACCCTACACTGTCTGTGCTTAATAAATGTTTGTTGAATTGAATGAGTGAGGGTCATGTCCCTCTCTTGCTTAAAATCCTTCTGTGGTTCTCTGTCGCCTTCAAAATGTCTCGGCTGGGGATTAGGGCCTCTCATGGCATCTGCCTCACCTTCCACAGCCCTGCGCGCATCCCACGCACCTCATCCTGCAGTCACACAGGTCCACTCACCGTTCTCCAGCCCTGCATCCTCTCTCATCACCATGCTCTGCTCATACCGCTCCCCTCGCATCTCTGTGTTATCACACGCAGCTCCGGCGTGGAGTGTCTGTGGGCTCGGAGGGCCCAGGCTTTTCCGGGGCAGGACGTGCTGTTCCCTCCTCTGCTCCCCGTGGCACTTTGTGCAAAGACCTGTACACACGCCACGCTGTTTCGTGATTGTTTGTTTCTGTGTCCGTCTCCCTCAGTAGCCTGTGAGCTCCTCGGGGGCAGGAACCATGTCTTGCTCATCTCTGACCCCCAGCGTCTAGCACAGTGCCTGGCACAGAGTACGTCTTCCATCATTGCGTGTGGAGTGCATGATGAGGGGGCGACTGCAGGAGTTCTGGGACGGGGGACAGTGTGGAGGTCCTCCGTCGGCCTGAGTGGCATGTGTTTGCATGAGTGGGGGGCATCTCCGGCAAAGGGCTCACTGCCCTTGCCCCCCCAGCCCCACCTACAAGTGGCAGCGGCAGGTGACTCAGCGGAACCCAGTGGGACAGAAAAAGCGCAAGATGTCCCTGTTGTTTGACCACCTGGAGCCCATGGAGCTGGCGGAGCATCTCACCTACCTGGAGTACCGCTCCTTCTGCAAGATCCTGGTGTGGCCCGAGGGCCTTCGGTCAGGGGTGGGGTGCAGGCTGGGGCTGGGGTCCCAGAAGGGCAGCATCCTTGGGGTGGGTGGCGTCACAGGGCGGGCGGCTGGTTTCAGTATAACCACCACAGGGCACCTGGAGGGGAGGAGCAGCTGTGGGTGAAGGGAGGGGCTCCCCAGGCACTGAGGCTGCTCCCGCCCCCAGTTCCAGGACTATCACAGTTTTGTGACTCACGGCTGCACCGTGGACAACCCTGTGCTGGAGCGATTCATCTCCCTTTTCAACAGCGTCTCGCAGTGGGTCCAGCTCATGATCCTCAGCAAGCCCACCGCCCCCCAGCGGGCCCTGGTGATCACACACTTCGTCCACGTGGCAGAGGTCCTGCCCCTCCCCGTTCCCTCCCTGCCTCCCCAACTGCCAGGACCCCACGGCCTCCTCTCCAGAAAAGCTGGGCCAAATTCTGGACCTATTCAGTGATGCCGCTCCCCCTCCCCCCCCTTTGTCCCCCAGAAGCTGCTACAGCTGCAGAACTTCAACACGCTGATGGCGGTGGTCGGGGGCCTGAGCCACAGCTCCATCTCTCGCCTCAAGGAGACCCACAGCCACGTTAGCCCCGAGACCATCAAGGTGCCTGGGGCTGGGGGGTCAGGGGAGCAGCCTTGTCAAGCCCTGGGCTCCGCCTGCCTTCCCGGGTCTGGCTCCCCTGGGGACTCACAGCAGCCAGTGCTGGGCACTCCCGCCCTCATTTGACAAATGGGGAAACTGAGGCTTGGAGGGATCCAATGCTTTTGCTATGTTACACAATGAAAGTGGCAGCGCGGGGGCTCACAGGCCTGCCTGACTCCAAAGCTGCTGTTTTCTCCTCCTTTTGTCTTGCTTAGCATATTGGGTGACATGCATACAGAAAAGTATATAAACACATGTACAGTGACAAGAAAGGTGAGAAAGAAAACACCCAGGGACACCACCCCGGTCAAGAGCTAGAACATCGACAGCCCCCGAAGCCCCCAGCGCCTCGGAGCATAACCCCCTCCCCAGCAGAGTGACCAATGTCCCGCCTGGCGCAACGATGAGCCTGCTTTTCCTTATGGCTTTACCACTCAGGCATGCGCCCCAAACAACGTGGTTTTTTTTTTTTTTTAAATATATTTTATTGATTTTCTTACAGAGAGGAAGGGAGAGAGATAGAGAGTCAGAAACATCGATGAGAGAGAAACATCGATCAGCCGCCTCCTGCATATCTCCTACTGGAGATGTGCCCGCAACCCAGGTACATGCCCTTGACCGGAATCGAACCTGGGACCTTCCAGTCCGCAGACCGACGCTCTATCCACTGAGCCAAATCGGCCTCGGCAACAACGTGGGTTTTGTGTTGCCTGTTTTTGAACTTTCTATAAGTGGGATTATGCTGTTTATGTTACTTTATATCTTCTTTCATTCTTTCTTTTCTTTTTTTTTTTTCTTCTTTTATTCTTGCATTCTGTTATGTGGAACACGCGTTCATTCATTTTCATCACTACATAATGTTTTCTTAAAAAATATTTTTATTGATTTTTTACAGAGAGGAAGGGAGAGGGATAGAGAGTTAGAAACATCGATGAGAGAGAAACATCGATCACCTGCCTCCTGCACACTCCCCACTGGGGATGTGCCTGCAACCAAGGTACATCCCCTTGACCGGAACCGAACCTGGGACCCTTGAGTCCGCAGGCCGAAGCTCTATCCGCTGAGTTAACCAGTTAGGGCACTACATAATGTTTTATTGTAAGCCCACTCCAATGTATGAGCTACTCTGCAGTTGAACATTTGGGTTTTTCCCCACTCAGACTGTTAGAACGACACACCCAAGAACATGGTTCTAATTATTCCTGCGCTGCTTTGCCTCCCCCAGCCTCAGTTTCTTCTGTTAAATGCTGATAACCCGTGGCCAGGCCTGGTGTACAGGTGTGGTACTTGGGAGTGGGCATTCCCTTGAACTCATGACCTATTAACTCGGACCCTCAGGGGCGAAGGGAGCCAGTGCTGGGGGACAGTGAGGGGGGATTTTGCCTTTTCACCCATCCCTGACTCAGATCCTCATCCTCTCCCACATTTCTAGGGCTGAGTGGGGGGTGATGTTGAGCCAGTGATGGGTGTATGTGTGTGACCTTCCGCCCTTTGCCCCCAGCTCTGGGAAGGTCTGACGGAACTGGTGACGGCCACCAGCAACTACGGCAACTACCGGCGGCGGCTGGCAGCCTGCGTGGGCTTCCGCTTCCCCATCCTGGGCGTGCACCTCAAGGACCTGGTGGCCCTGCAGCTGGCACTGCCTGACTGGCTGGACCCTGCCCGGACCCGACTTAACGGGCCAAGATGAAGCAGCTGTTTAGCATCTTGGAGGAGCTGGGCCATGGTGACCAGCCTCCAGCCACCAGTGCAGGCCAACCCTGACCTGCTGAGCCTGCTCACGGTGAGGGCAGGCACCAGGCTGACAATCACGCGGGCCCTGGGTTCCCACATGGCTGCAGGCCTGGCCGGGGGCCCTTGGTTTGGAGCAAGGGACTGAGATCCAGCCTGGGCTCCGGGCTTGGAGTGAATTCTGAGATGGGCTCCAGGCTCCAGGCTCCAGGCAGGACTGTGGACTGAGGTCTGCTCTCAAGGTTGGCGTGTGGGTCCTGGGTTGAGTTACCAGCAGTTCTGGGCTTGACCTTGGACCCGGTTTTGAGGTCTAGGGTGGGAGCTGGGTTCTAATCTAGGTCTGAGCCAGGTTCTAGGCATTGGGCTGGGGCTTAGCTTTTTGGTTTAGAGGGATTATTAGCTACCCCCAGGCTCTGGACTGGAGTCTGAGCTGGATTGGATTCTGAATGCTAGGTTGGGTTCTAGGTTGGGGGTGAATTTGAAGTCTTGGCTGGGTTCTGACCTGGATTCTTTTTTTAAAATTTTATTTTATTAACAGAGAGGGGGAGGGGGAGAGAGAGAGAGAGAAGAGAGAGAAACATCAACACGAGAGAAGCATTTATCAGTTGTCTCCCATATGCACCCGACCTATTGGTGTACAGGATGATGCGCCAACCCACGGAGCCACACCGGCCAGGACCTGACCTGGCTTCTGGCTGAGGCCTTGACAGTGCACTTTGCTCGAGGTTTAGGGGGAGCTTGGCCTGTGGTCTGTGTGCTGGGCTGGCATGTGGCTGCTGGGGTGTGCTCTCAGCTGGCCTTGTCCTGAGCCTGTCTTCTGGCCTGGGCTCGGGCTGAGCTGCAGTCTCTGCTGGACCTGTGACCTGGGCTCCAGGCAGTGGGCTCCTGAGAGCAGCCGGGCCTGTGGCTGACAGACCTGTGTGTCGCAGGTGTCGCTGGATCAGTATCAGACGGAGGACGAGCTCTACCAGCTGTCCCTGCAGCGGGAGCCGCGCTGCAAGTCCTCGGTGAGAAGGGGACTCTCCTTCCCCACTCCTCCCCCCAGCCATACCCCCCCCCCACGCCCCCTGCCCCAGTCCAGGATGTGAGGGCCTTTATTTGATGGGGAGTTTTCCCAGTGGGAGGGGTTAGGTGGGTGTGGGTGGTCCCAGGGCAGGCTCAAACTGAGGCTCAAACTGAGCAGCTGCCCCACCCCTCCTGCCTGTTGTGCAGGCTCCCTTACCCCTGGCTTCTCCTCTCCGCTCCCTGGGCTCTGGGCTCCCCCACCTCTGGCTCTCGCTCAGGCCTGACCATTCCCACAGCCAACCAGCCCCATCAGCTGCACCCCGCCGCCCCAGGCCCCTGTGCTGGAGGAATGGACCTCAGCGGCCAAACCCAAGCTGGACCAGGCACTCGTGGTGGAGCACATCGAGAAGATGGTGGAGGTGAGACCCTGCGGCAGGCTCTGAAGCCTTAGGACGCTGGTTTTGCCAAGTTCAAGGGCCAGCACTTGCTCTCCAGAAGGCATGGGCTATGGGAGAGGGAGGTGGGGGCGGGGGATGGACAGCTGCCCACATCTGGACACCCTTTCACACGGACTGAGAGCGCAGGCAGGATGAGCTGATGGTGCTTTTTTCTCCTGTCCTCTGCGTCCCTCTGTGTCCCCAAGTCTGTGTTCCGGAACTTTGACGTCGACGGGGATGGCCACATCTCTCAGGAAGAGTTCCAGATCATCCGTGGGAACTTCCCTTACCTCAGCGCCTTTGGGGACCTCGACCAGAACCAGTGAGGAGGGCTGGGGGCCGGGGAGGGGGAAGGCAAGCTCACTTCCCCTTGGGGTTCAGTTTCCTTCCGTGCACGGTCAGGCCATTGGACCAGACGCTCTTGGCAGAGAAAGCTACCCTGTGGGAAGGACCTCTTACGTGGGGTCACAGGGCTCCTGAAAGCAGCCAGGCCTGTGGCTCACCCATCCCCACAGATGGGGCTCCACCGGCATCTTACAAAGACGGTGGCCTGGGGACTGCTTCTCACCAATGCCGTTTCATTTGCGAGGCTCCCAGCTGGCACCCAGTGTGGGCAAGTGGAGTCCCTGGGTAGCCTGTTTTAATGAATAGATAAGAAAGGCCTGTAATTAGCACCCACTTGCTTATCAACAATTCACAAGCTGACAATTTGGACAAACAGCTGGTTGTCTGAGGTAGGTTAAATGTGCCCCCTGCAACCATAATCATATCTGTTTTGCTGAACAGATAAAATTCCAATCAAAATTTACAGGTCAAGATATTTTTAAATGTTGATCCGTATTTAAAAACCTGGTTTTTCCCATAGTGCAAAAATCCCTGGTTTAAAAAAATCAGGTGGTAAAATAGATTTGTAATAAACAAAGTGTACAAAGTAAGAAGTGAAAAGTTGCCTTCCTCCTTTCCTAGCTGAAGAGGTTATTATCATAACTTCCTAGTAAGCCCCTTGGCAGGGTTCCTGGTTTGGCAATACGCATATCCTTCCAGTCTTTTTTTCTTTTCTTTCATGCATGTGCAAATCGACAGATTTTGTTTGCCTGTGTTTGTGTCACGGACAAACAGAATTATAGCATAAATCCAGCTCTGCTCATAGTGTTTGTTGTAACTGTTTTGTTTCTCCACCCAGAGTTGAGACAGAGTTCCATGTTATCTCCCTGGGGGGGCGGGGGGGGAGGTTCAGGTCACACTTTCAGGGAGGATGCAGCCCTCAGAGACCTTTGAGGCACAGCTTCAAGCTGGAGTCTCAGCCTTAGCTCCCCACCACCTGCCAGCCCCCGGCCTTGGACCTCCCCTGGTTGGGTATCAAAACCCAGCACCTGGCCCTGGCTGGTTGCCAGCTAGATCCCCAGTAGGGGGCGTGCAGGAGGCAGCTGATTGATGTTTCTCTCCCTCTCCCTTCCTCTCTCTCTCAAATCAATACAAATATATTTAAACACACGCACATACACACACACACACACACACCACCACCAACAGCACAACAGCAGCAACAGCAGCAACAGCAATCACAATAAAACCAGCACCTGGCTCGCCAGGAGGGAGACCAGCAACCCAGTGTCAGGTCCCAACTCACTGCCTCAGCTTGACGCTCCTTCTTTGGTTCTGGAACTTGGGGGTTTCCATTATTTTTCTTTCAAACTCACTATGCATTTAAAGCTATTTTTTATATTTCATCAGCACCTAGATCAGCGGTTCTCAACCTGTGGGTCGCGACCCCTTTGGCGGTCGAACAACCCTTTCACAGGGGTCGCCTAAGACCACCCTGCATATCAGATATTTACATGACGATTCATAACAGTAGCAACATTACCGTTATGAAGTAGCAATGAAAACAATTTTATGGTTGGGTCACAACATGGGAAACTGTATTTAAAGGGCCAGAAGGTTGAGAACCACTGACCTAGATGTTTGTAGCAGTAAGGTTTTCAGGTGTTTTTTTTTAGTCACTATCTTGGCAGAACCGCATGCCATGCTTTTTTTGCTTTAGTTTTCCACTTAAACCTTTATCGTGGACATGTCTTCATGCCGATTCATGCAGGACCACGTCATTCTTTAGAGCAGCGTCAGAGTAATCCCTTACCTCGCCATCCTTCCGCGGATGGAGGTGTAGGTTGTGCCCAGCGTCCGCTACTAATATAGGCCGGGCTGCTGTGGACATCTTCGCGGCCAGGCACTCAGGCCACTGTTTCTGTAGGAGAAATTCCTAGAAGTGGGATAATTGAATCAAAAGATATGCACATTCTAAATTAGGAGAGAGACTGCCAAAGTGACCTCAGGCAGGGTGGTGCCAGCTTGCGCCCTTGGCAGCAGCGAACGGGTGCCCATTTCCCAGCTTCCCTGCCAACCTCGGAATCTATAATAAGCTTTACAGTTTTGCCAGTTTAATTGGCAAAGGGTGTCTTGGTTAAATCCGTGTCTCTTCAATACTAGTGGGGGTAGGATGTCTTTTCATATGTTTATTGGCCACTTATATTTCTTCTGTTAATTGCCTGTTCATAGTCTTTGTCCATGATTCCACTGGGTTTGTTGGTCTTTTTCCTCATTGATTTTTAGAATCTCTGTTAATGGATGTTAACCCTTCGCTGTCGAATGTGTTTGCAAATATTTTCCTCCAGTCTGTCATTGGTGTTGTCTTCTCCCGTATAAAAATTTTTAAAAATTTTGTGTGTTCAGTATGTCAGTCTTTTTCTTTGTAGCTTCTTAGATTTGTGTTGTGTGTAGAAAGGCCCTCACCCCCTCAAGATTACAAAATGATTCTCTTAAACCTTTTCAGGTTCTTCGATAATTTTTATTATTTTACATTAGTGCTCTCAGTTCAGTGGGAATTTTGTTTCCATGCACAGTATGAGGCAGGAATCCAGGCGTCTGTTTTTCCCTAACCGGCCAGTTGTTCCAATGCCCCTGAACTTGAAGGACCACCCGGACCCCACCATGGAGCCCAGATCCCATGGGTGGAGGTTTGCAGCAAGGACCAGCCATCAGCAGACACAGCTCCGGGTAGCCCGGGGCCCAGTGACTACCCAGACACTGTCCTAAATGCTTCATGTGCGCTATCTCAATCCTCACCGCCCCCCTCCTGCCCCCTGAGGTGCAGGGACGATCATTACCCTCATTTAGAGAAGAGGAAACTGAGGCACAGAGAGCTCTAACCAGCCGGAGGTCGCATAGCCGGGAGGTAGTGCAGCCAGATGGGAGTGGAGGGCTGTGGATCTGCAGAGCGCATCTCACTCTTTCCTAATCCGAGAAAGGGGTTCTGCGGGCAGCCCTGGAGAAGGGGGAGCACTGGCCACAGGGGTCTTTCCCGCAGGGTTATGGGCGCTCCTGGCCCCAGAACTCCCTAGAGACCTCTTTTTTTAAAAAAAATATTTTATTGATTTTTTACAGAGAGGAAGGGAGAGGGATAGAGAGTTAGAAACATTGATGAGTGAGAAACATCAATCAGCTGCCTCCTGCACGCCCCCTACTGGGGATGTGCCCGCAGCCAAGGTACATGCCCTTGACCAGAATCGAACCTGGGACCCTTGAGTCCGCAGGCCGACGCTCTACCCACTGAACCAAACCGGTTAGGGCCCCAGAGACCTCTTTAATCCGCGGGGCTCTGAGCTGGTGCTTGTCAGAGCTCAGGGTGGGAAGCAGGGGCTGATGACCGGGGAGAGAGCACAGCGCTTGGCGTGTGCACACCGGCTCTGTGAAGTGGGCAGGGCAGGACGACAATCCCCGTTTTCTGGGGGGGGAAACCCAGAAGTGACAGGCCCGAGACCACACAGCTGGTTAGCAGCAGCCGCTACAACTGCCTGACGCCAGCCCAGTGCTCTTTCTCTTCCCTGCACCAGGGCTCCAAACCAGGAGTGTGGTGAGGACCTGGTGTTTGGGAGGGGTTTTCCCAGTGGGTGGGTGGTCTGGGGCGGGCTCCAACGGAGGTGCCCCCTCCCCCGACAGGGATGGCTGCATCAGCCGCGAGGAGATGATCTCCTACTTCCTCCGCTCCAGCTCCGTGCTGGGCGGCCGCATGGGCTTCGTGCACAACTTCCAAGAGAGCAACTCCTTGCGCCCTGTTGCCTGCCGCCACTGCAAGGCCCTGGTGAGCCCCCGCCCAAGCCACACCCGCCAGCCCCGCCATCACCCACCCACGCCCCGCC